ATAAACATATATAGTACAAGCAATAACCCGACCTCACTAATAAATAATTTTCTGTAGCCTGCAAAAGAGTACTGTAAAATTTTTTTTATATAATTGAATTTGAATTTGATTGAAAAATTATTTTCGAAATCAAAAAAAAAAGGAAAAAAACTTAGTGAGTTGCTTATAAAATATTTCAAACTACATTAAAAAGAGTACTCTCGAGAAATATGTACATTAAAAGTATATTTKTTAGGGTTTCCGTGGACTTTAAAGTCTGTTCCACCCGATAACTTATGTTGTATTTGCATTTCTAACACCTATAGCTAGATTTTTTAAGTGAAAAAATGTTTCTAACTTTAATTATATGCCCAATAATACTATGTTATGATTAATGAAGTATTAACAACTTGAAATCTATATAAATCATTAATTACAAAGTAATATTATTTGGGTTGGGTTGCGTTGATTATACCATTTTTAGTTATATTTAGATTCAACTCATTTCAGTTCATTTATTCAATGAAACTAGATTTCATTACCAACCTACAAACATGCCTACACGTGTAAATTACTATTTTGAATAAAATAAAAATCAAAACTTGTAATTATAAATCGATGAAAGCAACACTTCATACGAAAGTGACTTGCCTTATTTATTTGCATTTTAATGGGAACGATGTAACTTGGTGCATGAAAAATGATGCCGTCGGCAAGTAAAGGCGTTAATAATCAGAGCATCTTAATTTGCATATACTCATATGCATATATGCATAGGTATATACAAATACACATAGCTCTTTACTTTTGGAAAACTATTTTCAAAATATATAAAAATAATTATTTAATTTTTAAAATTTCACACAAAAATCATATAAAATTAATTTTAGTTTGTATTAAAAAAAACTCGTTAAATCTCTCATAATTTCCGAAATCGTTAGCTCATTAATTAGACGCTTTATTAGTACCCACAATTGTAGAAAAAGTGTGAGACCATGTGTGCGTTGCTTCAGAGCTCCGTTTGAGCTTTGCTTCCACTTGCAACATCGTTAGTTGGCATTCGGTGGAGCAACAGAATGAACGTAAAATGTGGCCGCGCAGTATTTAACTAATTTTATATTTTTAATTAATTTATTTTTTAAATAAATAATTTATGATAAATCGGAAGTCAGCAGATTTTAAAGAGCAACGTGAATTTTATGTACGTTTAGTGCCTCATTTACATGCAATTATCCAAGTGCTAAGTGGAAAGCAAAAGGGTAGAAAATGCCCACGGTTGCTAAGAGTAAAAGTGCTAATTCAGGTATAAAAAAAAAAATTAATTAAAAAATATTCTAAACAATATTCTTACATGCAACATGCAATACAATTTTTAAATTATTTTGGGCGGTTTTCAGAACTTTTTGGACTTAAATTCTGTTTTGATATTATAATTTTCATAAATGTATAATTTGTGGGAAATCATGAGCATAGACGTACTACTGTGGGAAAACTAATAATAAGATTAATATTAATAAATTTCTGGTGCAGAAATGTTCAGAAAAATGTTGGAAAATACTGTTTATCGAGACGAAGTATTTTTTATAGGTATAAATTATTCAAGGAAGTTCGAGAACGCGTTGACGAGGTCCAGGACGGCCATCAACATGAACTGATGATTACTACATTAATGGAATTGGTACTTCAAAAACGACCATTAACAATCAAAAATCTTACTGCCTTCGTTAGAATATCGGAAGGATCAGTGAAAATCATTTTGAAAGATTAGTGTAGAAGTGAACGATTAGTTCCAAAATCACAAATTTTTTTCGAAAAACAGAGTCGGGTTAACGTTAACCGAATTATTACTAGCGATGAGCGTTGGATCTATGCTTACGACCTGGAAACAAATGATCAATCGGCCGAATATTGTAGCAAGGTTGAGCCGAAACCGAAAAAACATAAAGGTTATGTTGACAGTTTTCTTCGCTTAACGAGGTGTGGTCAACAAGGAATACTATTGAGTGTTATGCGTCACTTGGCGAAGCTATTCGACCAGAGACCAGAATTTTGGGCTGACAACTCTTGGTTTTGGCACCACGATAAGCAGCGTGCCGCAACCACCATATTTGTCTGATTTAGCTCCGTGTGAGTTCTGCGCATTAAACGTGAATCGCTACCCGATTTTGAGCATTAAAAAAAAGTTGGCATACGAGTATATGTTATGTATAAATAAAATTAAAAAAATAGTTTTTCTTACATTTCGAGAGCATTCTAAAGCCTAGCGCTTTTTTTTAAACCATATTTTTCAAAATTACTTAGCACAAACGATCCAATACTATTATTTTTTGGTACATGCTCAGTATGTACACAGTTTTTCATCCAATGATATACCAGTTTTTTGGTCTGATTTAAAATTTTTCTTTCGAATACAATATTTAAAAAAAATCTCAATATTGTTAATTTAAAATTTTCAACTTTAGGTTATTGTATGAATATGCGTAATATCTTAGAAAATCGTAGAAACAATTTTGTATTTCCCCAAGTGGAAGGCCAGAAAAAGATTCTTCTTCAAAAATTGCAATGTGCTTTTTTAGGCTCTCACACTTTTAATTTATTTTACTCAACGTGTTTTGTACATAATATTAGTCGTTTAAAAGATGGCAGTTCTTAAAGCTTCAAGCTAATCTATTAGCTCCCGAAATTTCGGTACGAATGTTAATTGTAACAGTATAATAGAATAAATATATCGATATAACCGCTCAAACTTTAATTCAAAGAAAGGGCGTATTGTTTTCGGTATTAGGTGAAGATAATCAGCACTTTTTATTATAAAAAAAGAATGCTATACGTTTTTGTGTACATTAGGCATTCTTGTGTGGTGACCGAAATCTCTGCCGAGCCTCCGAAAACTAAAATGTTCGATAAAAATAGTATTTGTGATACGATCTTATCCATTGTGAAACAAGGTTATCATGGCGCATTACTAAAATTCCAGCCAGCTTTACAATCTTAAGAAGACAAACTTAAACATTTTAGAATTTTTTATTGTTACAAACATACACTATTAAGAAAGAAATTCTGAAACTTTTGGAAAAAAAGTATTTTAAACTCGGACATTGTGACGCCATTTCTGGTGACCCCTCGAAAAAAAACTACGTGTTTTAGTTAAAACCTTATCTTAGAACTTGTACGATGATTTTTTACAAAATTGTAAATTTTGGTGAAAATCTCAAAGACATGTGTAAAATTTCATGAAGATCGATTGAGTAGTTCTTGAACCGAATTCAAAAACACAGCTTCGAGAAAAGCGCTTTCAAAAACGGCGCTCTTGGCATCGCTAGTCTCGAACACACAAGTTCTAAACGCTGTATCCCCGTAACTATTACTCGGATTAACTTTAGCACAATATTCTAGAAATGTTGTAGAATTAAAAAAAAAAAAAATTATTTTTTGAAACCCATGTAACGATTGCTGTTGAACTTAAATCCGCTAATGTTGAGGTAACTATCGTATTCAGGGTTTATACTTATTAATCGCCTTTACTTTATCGCAGAATTATGCACCGAAATCCGTAATTAAAAGTTTATAATGATCTTATCACTACCCGTACTCGTCTATGTTGGCCTTCGACTGGTCTCAGTGTATACTCTCGCCACAGAAAAGGCTTTTTATGAAAACTGGCAACAAACCGCAACTGGCGTTAGTAGCTTCACACATATTTATGGTTAGAATATATGTACATATGCTAATAAAATATAAATCTATTGATGATAATACTTAATAGTACGGTCAATTTCCAAGTATATATGAATATTAATGTATGAATCATACACATATACGCCTACTATGTGGAATACAGGTACGCTTTGGTTAAGCACTTACCTGTTTACAAGCCTATAACAACAAATAAAAACAACTGAAAGCCATTCAAGTCATTTGCATACATGCCGCTATGAAAAGTAAAAACGAAAGTTTAAAAAGAACTCAAACGGCAACCGTGGGTTGAGGGTGATACTCGAACTGATTAATTGTTTGTAAACTGGAGAGCTGGCGAACATGGAAATATGAAAAATATTTACACTGAGATACCTATGTAGATAATGATATCATAGGTATATCTGTATTAATCATACATACATAGTTGTGATATTGGAAGGTAGGGTCGATGTTTACTCTTTATCATCATTAAATAATGCTAATCAAATATATCGTCACCTGAAATGCAAAATAACGTATTATCAAAAAATTCGAAATTGAGTGTCTTATTGATTACGATTCACTTCTTCACATTACATACATAATATTACATATGTTCAACATTTTCAGGTTCTGCAGTCATATACGAACCATTTTTAACCAATATTAAAATAGTTTTTCACTCATGTTCCATTTTATTTCGTGTTTCATTCATGCCACTGTAAATTTCCGAAAATGTTGTTATGTTATTTTGCATATCATGATATGTAGATTTGTATATAATATAAAGGTCAACGACTTGTTTTTTACGTGTATTTTATTATAATCTGAGTATACCTTTCTTATTTGTTTAGATTGCAAGTAGTTTATGCACAAGCAAATGAGTGACTAACCCATATTGAAAAAGTGAGCAGACCGTGCCATTATGCTGACACTTTAGCAGACGTACAGTAACCGGGTTAATAATGCTCTATGTTAGTTTAATCAGTTTAGCCGGCAAATATAATGACATATATATTTACAAGTATGTGACATTGTCGTTGCTTTCGAAATCATTTGTCACATCTGCCCACACATAAATTTTCATAGCTGCCACAGAAATTGTGCTCAAACATTCATCAATTAAGTAATTAAAGCAAGCTCCGTTAAATGTTTGTCGCTCGTCATAATCCACAAGAATTCGTATTATTCGCTCTTAATGTTGCCGCTGAAAATATTTGTACTCGTGCCTTTTATAGGGCCTAATTAGCGGAGAAAACCCGGAATGATTTTGACCTTATGGATATAAGTTAAAATTTTAGTCGGGAATTTTGCATATGAAATACTAATGTAGAGAATACGTTGTGACCAAAWATTATAAATGAAACGCAAAATAYTTAATTATTCATCAATATTTACTTCGATATTCTTCCGGTCCTCGAAACAGTATATATAGCCTTCAGCGAATTGTTTTATCTCTTTGATTGACAGAAAACGGGTTCCACGCAGCTTTTGGGGAAGAAAAAAAATCACACGRAGCCAAATCTGGTGAATACGATGGTTGATCGGTAGTAYTCATTGCGTTTTTGGACCAAAGAAACTAGCTTGCGTTACTCTTAAAAAAAAAAATCAGTTTTATTAGGATGAGTTGAGTAAGAACGCGTTYTATACCCAAAATTTCCATTAAAATCGTTCGAACGTGCTTGTAAGAGATGTCGAGCTCTCTTGCTATTTCTCTAACACTTGCCWGACAATTTTTATCACCACTTTTCAATATTATCATCAATGATCTCTCGTCTTTGAAGGCTTTGTATCGCTCGTAGCCTTGTGTTTTTGATAAAACTGAACCACCGTAAGCCTTCTTCAACATAGGCAATGATTCCGYATACGAAATTTGGCTAGAAATACAAAAGTTTAGGAAAAAACTTTGTTTCATATTTGTATCCATTGTAAAAAATTGTAACGTACTACTGAGTTGTGCCAACTTAAAAAACTGCAGTAAATAAACTGGTTGACAAATCGCGCACGATTACCGGGCGCTTTTTTGTCTAAATGTATGAATATATATTCTTTATTGACTTAACACACATGCCATTCAAGCTGAAGGATGCCAATCAGAATATAGATTTTGTATACATTTTTATGCTATAAAAACGTGTACACGTGTGARGGGTATTATAGCTTCGGTGCCGCTGTAGTTAATCTTTTTACTTGTTCCGACTTATTTTGCCACTATGTTATATGAATAAATTATAATTCCTAAATTTTTTAAAACTTAATTTCTTGATTAAAGTTTCATTTTGCTCGATAACTGGACTAAAGTGACCAATTTTTACTCTCAGATTTAGAGTGCGGCGTCGACGAAGGAGAGGACATCGCCTTGGCGATGTCACCGACCGGACAGATAGCTAAGACACCAACACCACGTGACGAAGCAGATAGTGACGATCAGCGTGAGACATGGAGCGGCAAAGTCGATTTTTTACTATCAGTTATTGGATTCGCAGTCGATTTAGCAAACGTTTGGCGATTTCCATATTTATGCTACAAAAATGGCGGTGGTAAGTACCCTCACTATTTTTTCTACCYCAAATATACCTGTATATGTATGTAAGTATTTATGTGTTATGCGCTCAATAATTGGTTATTCAATTATTAAATTCGTCTATAAGCAGTTGTTTAAGTCTACTTTAAGTATTATCTTGGCGTGTAAGAGAAAATAATTAAATACTCAAAGCACACCCACAAGCGTACAACTAATCTGCCATAATCCGCATGGCAATCTAAAGTTAATTTGTGTGCGTCCAATTTGCTACAGCCTATCCAACTAGCTACATTGTTGTACAGGCGTGTCGATGTAATAATGAGCTGTAAACGGATGGCAGGAGTCGATTACATTTGACTTAAGGACTCATACATATATAATGATGTGCATATATGTATACAGCGGAGTGAATGTGCTTGCTGGCTTATTGCTATGATTTATGCCACTTAACACCCGACTCTACTCCGGCAATAATAATTGTAGTAATAGCTGAAGCAACAATTGCTGCCTAACTTTTTGCTCTTTTTTGTGGAAGAAAAAGTTTAGCTAAGTGTCGCGTAGCTGCAAAGGTACTCATATAGCAATATACGATTCTATGTAAGTGTGTCTAGCATAAGAACCACAATATATATGCCATTTGTCATGCTCAACACTTTTGCCAGTGAAGTGCTGCCATTAAATTTGCCTCTTATGGCACACTTCCTTGAGAAAATTGCTGTGTTCTGTTTGAATGCGTCGCCTCAACATTGCCATCAACACTATCACCACCAGTTGCTAYTGCTGGTCTACTCGCATCCTGTTGCCTTTTGATGCTTGCTGCTAGTGTTGTAGGTAAAGTTGGCTGCGATTTTCCGGTATTCATTTAGGGATTGGCGAGAAATTATATGTTTATATGGGCAGCGGAAATCATTTTACGAAGATTGTCTGACTTTTTAATCGTGCCATAAAATGATTTTAGAGTTTAAAGAAGGCGATGAGGCAATGGTCTCAAGATGCTCCATGTTATTGTTGTAGTAACGAGTATCCAGATACTGCTTTCACCCAAGCAAGAAGTTAACTGCCATCGAGATAACTTAACGGCGGGCCTACGTAACGAGCTGTTTCGATAACTTTAGCTCAAAGAGAGAGAGGATTAAGTGAGTCGTTTTGATTGGACATGCAAAGAGGAGATTAATATCAATAGTCCCCGACTTATAGGCAGGACTAAGCTTTTGGATGTCGTGGTCTATTCTGGATAACTAGTTTAACCAGCTAAAATACCCAGAACGAAGTTGCGCAAAAAATTATACGATTGAGTTCCTTAGCCTTTGCGCCGTCCCAAATGATTGGCTKTGGTTAAATTGCGAAGTATCGACATTCTAAATGTTATTTGCAGTCGGATCCTCATAAATTTTCCTCAAAGTATGCTCTATCCAGCGCTACTCGAGACTTGGTTTCCACGGCTCTGTTAACAGTCATAACTTCGAAGTCGTAGGYGTTTTCGTCTTGGGACCAGCATTAACACCAAYGATAACGTYGGCCTCGAAATCCAACGCAGAATAACTATTGCTAAGCGGTGATGCTTCGGTTGGAGTAGGCAACTGAGAACAAAAACCSAATTCTACAAGTTACTTATCATCCCCGTCCTGGTATGGACGATGACAACATCTGATGAGTCGGTCGAGTTTTCGAGAGAAACGTTCTGCGAAATATTTATTGTTCTTTGTGCGACGATGCAGTCGATGGAGCGATGAGCTGTGCGAGATTTATGACGACATTGACAAAGTTCAGCGAATCAAGAGACAATGGCAACGTTGGCTAAGTTTTTTCGTCCGATTTGATGATGAAGAGTATTCGACGAGGCCAGTACGACGAGACCAGTACGAAGGACCTGGCTTCACTTGGAATTTCCAACTGGCGCCCAAGAGCGTAATAGCGGCTATAATCACATACGCGATGTCTATACCTATAAAAAAGAAGAAGAAAGTACGATAAAATCTATATCTAAAGAAACTGRCTTTTATTCCAAAAGKTAGCCTGTATTATAGGTAACCCGAMCTAATCCAAATAAGTATTCAACCAMGTACTGTCAACCCTCTATTYTGCAAAAAAATTTGAGCTACGATTTGTGTTACTACAATTAGATGCCAACAATATCCCGAATGTTCAAAGCTTTACACAACTTAATACCGAAAATCGGTACTTGAATTTCACTAGACACCAACAAAATCAATTCACTCGCTTTTTATGTGTATGTATGTATGTTTCATTCATAAGCACGGCAAAGCATGTCGCTCGGTATCCTCCAAGACAATTTCAAAGTTAAGTGCTTTTGTATGACAACTAAATCTGGCAGTCATAATCGCATTTACCGCTGCCATTGAGTGGTTGTGGAGTGAGAAAAAAAAAGAAAAAAACTCAGCCAACAAAGTCAAAAGCGAGGAGAAAGAGTTTGTAGTGGCATGCAGAATCATAAAGTTTGGATTAACAAAGAAAATCAGCAGAAAAAGTGCGAAAAGCAGAGAAAAAACGAGACAATAATGGTGGGATTTTTTCCACAGTTGGTCTCGAAAGGCATAAAAGCCTTGGCAGTGCATGCGTTAAAGTGTTTTGGCCTACGAATTAGGGTGCCACACACGTTCATAAACCGAAGGCAAGTTCAATAATCATGTGCTAGATATGCGAAGCTCTGTTAGGTTAGGTTGAAAATCATGTGTGAAGGACTCACAATTATGCATTGCTCGCTGTGGAAATACAGAGAGTGTGTGAGTACTTAAAATTCAAGTTTATTTCAAATAAAAATCGTACGCTTCATTGCATTCAATCAGCAAAACGGAARTAAGCCACTGCGTGCAATGCTCGTTGCAACACAGCCCCAAGTTGGTCGTTATAACGARGCTTAAATAACCATGACAACTGACTTAATATAAATTTTACGCAGTGCCTTTATGATTCACTATTCTATGTATACCGTTACAGCTAAGCATGTATAAGTAGAGGAAAACTGAAATGGAAGAAGGTAAATCAGCTTTGACTTCGCCAGTRACTAATACATTTTCTCATCATTGCTTACTTATGGCTAATAGCGGCTTAAGCGAGTGCTTTATTGCRTGTAAATATATTATGTGTATAATTTTTCACTGTTACGTTGTGTATTATTTTTATATTGAATACCGATTTCAGCCCTCACATAAATTGTAGCGGTTTCTTCTCACTCTGAAGAGAGTTTTCTTAAATGCATATACTATTGAAATGACGAGTTTGAGGTTTTTGGTAGAAAACTCTTGCCTATAGCTTCATGCTAAATATGTATGTATATCTTATGATTTGGAATACCAATATTCTCAGGAACTATGAACTGAATAAAATTCCGTCTATTACTAGAGAGCCCTAAAGTTGTTTGATTTCATCTATTGGATCTATAACTATATTCGTGCAGTTTTTCAAGAGATATCCTAGCTTCATTAGTATTTAATTTTTCCAATATTCCAAACATACGTTGGAGATTTACTGACCTTGCTCATCTTTTGTGTATATGCCATTAATTTTAAACGTACATGGCAATAATTTTTTTTTTCAGTCAAATACCATGACGAGTTTATTGTGAAGCGAAGGAAACCTCAGCCGAAAGTCATCGAATTTTGGTGGAAACTTTGGGTAAACATGCTGTAGCTGTGTGAACTAAAGGCTTGAAAGACAAATAAGGTTTTTGGAAATTCAAATGTATTTATTACAATTGAGTTTTGAATATAAAATTCAAATGGCCTTTACGATTTCTTTGTAGCTACGAATTCGATGAACGCATTTTCGAGGACTTTTTTAACTAAAGTAAGTCGCATGTCATGAATATGACGTTCAATATTGGCTTCTAAAGCTTGACGAGCGTCTCTGGTTTATTGCTAAAGCCAATTAGTCACACATTTTGGAGACCTTTCCATGTCACTATTTCTTGAAATAATCGAATCTCTAAACTTTTCTTACAATAATTCGGTTGTTGCATATGCTGTGTGGCATRCATCCTCGTGTTKTTGGAACCAGATGTTGCCAAGRTCAATTTCTTCCAATTGTGGCTATATGGAGTTGGTTGATCTATACCGTTCTCCACTGACAGTAACTTCATTTTGAAAGAAATACGGACTGATGATTTCACCAGACCAAAAACCACACCGAACTGCCAATTTAGGTGAATGTAATGGTTGTTCATGACTAATTTGGGGATTTTCTATGTACCAGAACCGAAAATTTTGTTCATTTACCGCACCACTCAGATGAAAGTGAGCTTCATCAGAAAATATGATTTTCTTAWAAAAATCATTATCGCTTTCAAGTTGTTCCAAGGCAAAATCAGCAAATTCACGACGTTTGCGGTGGTCCAATGACTAGAGTTATTGAGTGAGAACAATTTTATACCGATGTAAGCCCAAATTCTTTTTCAAAATCAGCCAGGTTGTGATTTGAGACAATCTCAATTCCTGATTATGTCTTGGAATTGACAAATTGTGGTCTTCAGAAACACTTTCGGCGAATGCGAGCACAGGTCGTCGATTATTACGACCTTAAAAAACAGGGCGAAAAGTTGCAATTAAAGATTATTTTGTTAATAAAATTTTTTTTGAAACGAAAACAACACTTTGACCTTTTTTGGTTCAGAAGAGGATTAAATTAAAGCGAGYGATTATCGAGAATCTTCCGGAATTTACGACTCGACACGAGGCAATAATTTTAATTATGATAAGCCGTGATCTTATGTTACAAGACCRGATAAAAACTATGTGGTTGGAAAACAGCGACTGAAAAGTTGTTTCTTACTCGACTTATAGATCTTATCTTGTCCCTTCTGACAAGCATTTGTTCTGTCGATGCAGAAAGACCTTAAAAGTGGAAAATGACCACATAACAACAAAGTAGGGTATCAGAAATTGGCTTGATGMGGTGCGGGATTAGTTCGTAAACCACTCAGTTTAAAGTAGATAGTTAATSTGGAAAAATCGATACGCAGCTGGAGTACTAGGGTAGTTGACAGGAATTGTGTTTGGTATATTTTTATACCCTGAACAGGCTAAATATAGTTTGCCACAAAGTTTGTAACACTCCCAAAAAAAAAAACGTTGGAGCTCCCATAATTTATATAGCTTAGTCAACTTAGTCGTCTGTCTCTCGGTCTGTATACTATATACAACGACTAGGCCTTCAGTTTTGTGCTTATATGTCGGAACCGTCGATATCAGAGCACTATAGCATATAACTGTCATAAAAACTGACCGCTCATAATACAATTTTTGTATACTTCTGTTTTTGTGAAAGGTATTACAGCTTCRGTGCAGCCGAAGTTAACGTAYTCGCTTGTTTCATAACAATTTTGTTCGAAATATTTTTACTTTTCTGAGCATTTATCTGGTTAATTAATTCGCTGTGATTCAAAAACATTAATTGTATGCAAAATTTTCAATAAACTCTACATACATWAGTATAWAAATACATAATGAGTGTATRTGTTTAACGTCACTTTACCATTTAAGCACACTTCAAGTCACAATCTTACTGACTTCTATACACATTTGTGCAACGTTCGGATCACTTACCTTGMTACTCATACTTAGTAGCTTGGTATATTATTTTAAGAGGAAATTTGATTAGATGACGTCATTATTTTATGYTGTGTACCCACTTTAAGGAGACACACACTAACAATTTAACGATAAATGCCAAGCATCGAAACCAACGAATTTGCATTGGCTACAACAACAATAGYAATGTAGAGAATATAACAAAATATTGAATGAAAATGGCTAGGCGCACACACCTACAAACACGCACACGCTCATACTTCCACTAAGTGAGTGCGAGTGCTGTTGATGTTTGATGTCGAAAACGGTGTGTGCCTTTGTCAACCAAGAGCAGAGCACTTCATTTAACAAGTCGACACAGGAACAAAGGCAACAGGACTACAGCATGATGATGGCGATATCGATGATACCATATACATACATACATATGTATGTACTAGATGTATGTGTGTGAGCGGAGAAGAACTGTGCATATTTTGTTTTAAAATTAGATTTATATTGTGCTATAATCAAAATCATATTGGTTCTKTTTTAAGTGAACCCAAGAGAGTGTGGTGGAAAACGAAAATTAGTCAAGGCGGCGGGGGGTTTGTATGACAACAGTATTTTATAAGGTGTTAAATATGTGGTAATGGCTGTGACACTTTGTTGGACGGAAAATGGTGCTGCTGTAACGGAAAAAAGGAAATTAGGCTTTCCTAATTGTGGGCGGATGGATTCCAGGAGTATTGGGGGTTGTGAGAAAATCGAATCATAGAAAAGAGTAAGTGGTTGTAAAAGTTTAGCACATAATACTGGCATTGTGTATTTTTATATTATATATACCGTGCAGGCAACTTGTAATATGATAAATAAAAGCAAAAAATCAAAGTAAAGAGTGGGGTCACATATTTTTACTGAACTGATGTGCGCTTATTATAGAATTTCAATATGAAGTAAGCATTGCAAGTGACATTTTTATTTTCTTAACAGTGGAATATTTATTTATGACTGCTTTGAAATCATTTTGAAATTTTTTTCTTGTGAATTTGGTTATTATGATGATCATCATAACATGGATAAAAATCAATAACAAGTTCATCTAWAAGCAGCCCTACTTTCCATATATCTATGCTACTGTAGAAACATTAAGGGAACGTCTCAGTGTTAAATTTTCGAAAATTGATTTTTTTGTTGCACTCTATAATAAAATTCTCTCAAATTTTGAAATCGAAATTCAAATTGTTACGGTGGCTACCGCATTTCTGATAGAAAAGGAACAAAGTTTTCTCAAAATGGTGTTTTTCAAAAAGATTTCCACTCTCAAAGGAAGAGTTATTAAAAAATCTGGTTCCTATTTGGAGAGGACGTTTTTGACGTCATTCGCTTTCGCGTTATGTTTTATTTTTTTTTGAAATCTTCCTAGTTTTTTCTGCGAAACACCGTCGAAAAAAGGGCCAAATTCGATACTTTTTGTTCAAATCGCCGCAATCGTGTACGTCGTACAGAACCATCTTTTTAAATTATTTTTATTATTATTAAATTATAATTTTTTGAATTTATTTATCTTTTATAGACCCAACAAATAATCATAAAGAAATCATTCTGTATTCGTCATAAATGTATTTATTTATAAAAAAATCGGACTGATTAGTTAATTTCAATATTAAAAAAAATCTGTAATTTTTCGGAGGATCACATTAATTTTCTTTTTAATACTATGATATGTCTATAATATTTTTCCCATAGTTTCAATTGCAACAAAAGTGTAAAAAAGATATTGTAAAACTGGAAAAATGAGAGTATTTCCAAAAAAATTTCTAGTGGTGCTGATAACGAATCTTCGCCTTCGACCTAGTTTATCTCGTATTTAACAGTTAGCATTTGATATATTTTAGAGATGTCGTCGGTCAATAAGCTTTATCTTCACTTTAAATTATTTGATAACGCTTCGTATTAACATAAAATACTTGATTCAAAAACAGTAAACTCTCTTCCATTTCTTTTTACTATTCTATATAAATTTTAGTAGTTTGTCTCTATGCGTATTAGAATGTAGAAAAATATTACTCATACGCCATGTATCCTTCTTAAACTATTAGTACTACTTCGGTGCGTATTTTACTACACTGTAGTATATAGTATTTTAAATTGAGACAAACTTGTTTTCATAATCATTTTGTAACTTTCTTGAATGAAAATAAACCCAATGCAAATATAGTACTTGTAAAGACATGGTGAGATCAATACAAAACGCTTACCTATAATTTTGAAATATTATAAATAATCTTAACTCTCATTAACCCGAGTTATAAAAATTTTCAAAATTTCAAAAGCACTGCATCACTGTTTCATTTTCTCGTTTGCGCTGCACATTGTGTTCTTTTTCTAATGGCCATAATTTAATAATGAAGTTAGTTTTTGCTTTTGTGAAGTTTCATTAACAATGAGTCTATGTAGTTATATACTAAGCCTTAGAATATAAAAATGTTCAGCGAATGTACTTATATACTCTCTAATTGCTAATACTATAACTTTAACCGACTAATTGAAAAGTTAGCGAACTATCTAAAAAAAATTGAAAACTGAAAAGTATAAATAAAGTTCCTAAACACGTCTATCCTTTAGCATGACAAATAATTAAAAATGAAATTATGACATTTTTTCGGGACAATATCTTTTTAAGATATTTGTGGTGTAATCTAATAAATCATCTGTACCGTTACACTAGCTTTGTTTCCATTTACTTGCATAAAAGTACGATTTAATTCATATTTAACCACATTGTCTGGTTTGAAGCAAAGCTATTTCAGTAGTAAACTTAATCCATATCAACGTTATCTATTTACACTAGTTACTTCTAATATTTAAAAACTTCTATTGAATGCCSTAGTACATATAGTATATTAAATAATTAGGGTGCTTCTACTTAGGTGAGTTGCTATATAGTATTTTTCTTCAAATCAAGAGGGGATCCCCGAAACTGAGGCAAAAACTTGAAGCAAAGGACAAATCGTTTTACAAAAATGGTATAGAAAAGTTGGATTGTCACTATAATCAGTGTACCACTCATAAAGTGAAATAATTTTGAATATTAAAAACCAATTCTGCCAAGAGATGTGTACTATTTTAGGCCGCGGTCTTTTCAGTCGACCTTTCAGTGTTGAGAACTAAATTTCATCAAATTCACATATTTTTCCAGAGTAGATCTATGATTAGTAAGTAAATAGTGTTATGCGTCGTTTGTGTGAAGCTATTCTTAAAACTAGGCCGGAATTATGGGCCGACAACTCTTGATTTTTCCACCACAATAATGCAGCGTCGCGTACTGCATTGGTTCTTAGTGARCTTTTCGCTTTCAACCAATATCATGCCGCCTGATTTAGCACCTTATGACTTCTGGCTATAGAACAGACTCAAACGACCGCATCGCGAAAACCATTTTGAGTGAATTGAAGACATTAAACGTGAATCACTATGCGCCGTGCAATCTATTCCGGAAAGTAATTTAAACAACGATTTCGAGGATTGGAAAAAGCGTTAGCCAAGCTGGAGTTCGACAATATTTTGAAGAATAAATTGAAAATTTAAAAAACTAAGTCTTACTATTTTTTGCTCATAGTGGTATATTTGGTTTCACTGAATAACTTATTAACATTCAAAAATACAAGTTCCAGAATACTAAATTATATAATACCTTTTATACAAAATATTTTCATTTATATTTTCAGGCGCTTTTCTGGTACCGTATTGTATTATGTTGCTAGTAGGTGGTATACCATTATTTTACATGGAACTGGCATTGGGCCAACATAACCGTAAAGGTGCCATCACATGTTGGGGACGCTTAGTGCCGTTATTTAAAGGTAAAACTTGTAAAAGACATATTTTCGAATAATTTTAAAAACATTTCAAAAATATTTAAAATTAAATATTTGTAGGAATCGGTTATGCAGTGGTGCTGATTGCTTTCTATGTTGATTTCTATTACAATGTTATAATCGCTTGGAGTTTACGTTTCTTCTTCGCCTCATTCACAAATAATTTGCCCTGGACGTCGTGTACGAATCCATGGAACTCGGACTATTGCAAACCGGTAACATTTTTACTGCATKAGCATTATCGAAATTATTTGTTTCAGGAAAATAATGTCTTTTAAACTTTACTTTCAGTTTGAAGTTCAACAAAATACAATCATGCCCATGCAACCCACCATTCAACCGCTAAATATATCTATGAACTTCACCGATTTCGCATTTGACAATCAGTCCGTATTGAGTTACAACGAAAATAAAACTTTGGAAAGTACAACGACAACAGAGCGATTTCATTCCGCAGCATCCGAATATTTCAAGTAAGTGAACTTTATACTGAATACTTCCTCAATTATTGAGAGAGAATTTTTGAAAATTATTTTCACCATTTAAAGTAAAATTTTGAGAATCTTTCGTTRTTTTAACCCATATTTTTAGTCGATATATACTGGAACTGAATCGTAGTTCGGGTTTAGACGATCTTGGCCCAATTAAATGGGATATGGCCGTKTGCTTGCTAGTCGTCTATCTCATCTGTTATTTCTCTTTGTGGAAAGGTATCAGTACGTCCGGTAAGGTTGTGTGGTTCACGGCGCTCTTTCCGTATTGTGTGTTGTTGATATTGCTCATACGTGGCATTACACTGCCTGGATCCGCCATGGGTATAAAATACTATYTGAATCCAAACTTTGATGCTATCTACAAAGCGGATGTGTGGGTCGATGCGGCGACACAGGTSTTCTTCTCATTGGGACCTGGTTTCGGTGTGCTTTTGGCGTACGCTTCATACAATAAATACCACAATAATGTCTACAAGTGAGTTTTTAATGTAGTTGTAACAATTTCTATATATCATTGTTATTATTGTTTTTTCGCCAAAATCAGAGACGCGCTGCTTACGAGCTGCATCAATTCGGCTACCAGTTTCATTGCTGGCTTTGTGATATTCTCCGTGCTTGGCTATATGGCTCACACATCTGGACAAAATATTGAAGATGTCGCCACCGAGGGTCCCGGTTTAGTATTCGTCGTTTATCCAGCGGCCATTGCCACCATGCCGGGCAGCACTTTTTGGGCTTTGATATTTTTTATGATGCTTCTAACATTGGGTTTAGATAGTTCCGTAAGTGTAATATATATTTGTTGTTGTTGCATTGACTTAAATATTCATTTTTATTATAAATGATCAATTTTTAATACAGTTTGGCGGTTCTGAGGCTATTATAACGGCTTTAAGTGATGAATTCCCAAAGATTGGCAAAAATCGTGAGATCTTCGTTGCTATACTCTTCTCGCTCTACTTCATTGTGGGCTTGGCAAGCTGTACTCACGGTGGTTTCTATTTCTTTCAACTACTGGATCGCTATGCCGCTGGTTATTCAATACTTGTGGCGGTGTTCTTTGAGTCAATAGCGGTGTCGTGGATTTACGGTAAATTTCATTACCAGCAAATATTTCAGTATTGTTCTTTATATAATGCTCAACTTAAATTCAGGAACAAATCGCTTTTGCGAAGATATACGCGACATGATCGGCTTTCCACCCGGCAAATACTGGCAAATTTGTTGGCGCTTTGTAGCGCCACTCTTTCTACTCTTCATCATWGTATATGGTCTGATCGGTTACGAACCGCTAACATATGAAGATTACACGTATCCAGTATGGGCCAATACGTTAGGTTGGTGCATAGCGGGCTCCTCGGTGATGATGATACCGGCGGTGGCGATTATCATGATGCTCAAAACACCGGGTACCATTAAGCAGGTATATTYATTTAACCTAAATTATCAAATTCATTTGTGGCTAGTTATTTTTTAATTGTAAGTATACCCTGTACAGGAAACATTAAGTTTGCTACGAAGTTTGTAACACCTAAAGTATATATGCATACAATATAATTTAAATTGCCAGCATGGCGACCTGAGTAGACTGAACCATGTCCATCTGTCTGTCCGTCAATATATACGTGAACTAGTATTTCAGGTTAAGGGATACTTGCTGGCCAACGCGCAAAGGACCATAAATCTTTCGCAGAACCTATCTTTCGAAAACTCGTAACGTCGACTCATCAGTTGTTGTCATCATCCAAGCCTCTGCACCATATAGCAGGACGGCAATAATGAGTGTCTCTGCGCCGTCGAGAGAGGATCTTACTTCTCAATTGCCTAGTCAGTTCGAAGTAGYACCAGTGGACAATAGCTATTATGCGTTGGATTTCGAGGTTGACATTGTTATTGCTGTTAATACTGGTTCCAAGATAGACGAAATTWTCTACGACTTYGATCAGCAGACTGTCAAAAGTGACGTGGAAACCAAGTCGTGAGTACGACGACTGTTTGTTTGACGACAGGAGATATTTTGCATTCTTCTCGTTCATTTGCTTTGCTTTCTCAGCCRGTCTAGAGAAAGCAGATTTAACGACGCGATTGTTAAGGAGGATGATATCAATATGATCGGCGTACGCCAGCAGCTGTACACTCCTATAGAAGACGGTACCTTTTCGATTTATTTCCTCCAAGAGTAGATTGAAGAAGTCGCCCGAAATAGAAGTCCTCCTCGATCCRCTCAATAGAACTTTGTCTGCGATGTTGGGAAGACTTATAACACCGTAGTTTGCGCAGATTGTGGGGTTTCCATTTTTTGTGGGTTGGGCAAAACACAGTTATATACTAATCGTTGGGCATGCCTTGGTTCGWCCATATTCTGCAAAGAAGGTGATGCATGCACCTTAACAGTTCTTCGCCGAAGTATTAGAATAGCTCGGCTTTAAATTCACCGRTCCCCGCCGCTTTGTTGTTCTTMMGAYGGGTAATYGATATTCTAAYTTCTTYATAATCGGGCAAGGAACGTCCGCTCCATTGTGATTGTTTGTCCGGAAACGCGCTCACCATCTCCTGGTGTTCAGCTTTCACTGCCATTCAGCAGGCTGGAGACGTGTTCCCTCCATAATTTTAGTATCCTCTGGGCATCAGTCASTAGATCASCTCTGCGKGTTCTACAAGAGTATGCTCTGATGTTGAAATCTGCTGTTAGTCTCCTCATCTTTTAAWAGAAATTTCGAACTATCCGATCAAAATCAAATTCTTGCATGGAATCACCYTTTGTTGTGAAAAATATTCTAGCTTCGGCACACCTGTAGTTAAATACCTTTCTTTATACTTTTTTTGCTATAAGAAATTCACCTGTKAAGGGTATTATAGCTTCTTATTTCTTACTTCCTGTTTTTATGAATTTATTTGCAGCGCTTAAAAATACTCACCACACCTTGGCGCGATCAGCAGGTCTCAGTTAACGGAGTGACGGCGGAGGCAACACAAGTGCGGCTCACCGATGCCAAAGAGGGTGCTGAGGTCTGAGATCAGCCATTTGCAAGGTTCAAAGTGTATTATGTGTGATTTCGTTSCATCATTTTTGCAATAGTTAAGCGGAAAGTCGGCAATATTRTTAAAGTTCTGCTGTTTTTGCCAAAATTGTGCCACCGTGCACATTCATACGTATATACTATATWTGTATGCATTTACCTGCGTATGTAATTTGATCACTAGTTAATGYTCACATGAAATTAGGGAATTAGTTTTTAAGTATTTGATAGTGTATAAAAGTAAATAAATGAATTGCTAGTAGTGTAATTAGAAAATAACCACAAATTTTGTACACTTATACAAATGCAAATTTCACAAACAACGTAATTTACTTAGGTTTCGCTGGCATACAGACTTGTATGAAAGCTGCACAGCAAGCAAACAGCTGCAAATAATCATTGCAATACTTAYAAGCCAAAATGCATACATATGTATTGGTGCATATAGTGGCATGTAGGCAGTGAGAGGCCCCAACCAGAAAACTATTTGTACTTACATATATCATATAAGTACATACATATGTAYAAGTGTGTATATAAATATATGCATACATGTGTAAATGCTTGAGTCTAAAGAAAATATTGAAATTATGTATGTAAGTGCATTTGTTGTTGCAGTTGTAGTTTATAACATTATAAAAACTCATTAATACAAACTTCTGTGTATACATACGTACATGTATGTAGTGAAAATGTATGATTTTTAAGATGCTGTGTAGATAATATTAGAAACCTGTCTCTTATACACATCTAGATGTGTATAAGAGACAGGTATACATACGTACATGTATGTAGTGAAAATGTATGATTTTTAAGATGCTGTGTAGATAATATTAGAATTGAAAGGTTTGGAACATGCCGAGCTACAGGTGTTACAATAATAAATAATAAAAAAATTAAAATGGTTTACAATAACAAATTTGACTAAAGATAAGACAAAAAAAAGCTGTTTAATAGTAGTTAAAGTTAAAGCGCTTGTTATCAAATCTACCTATGTACAATCAACAWACTTCTTTGTTAGTTCAAAATTATAAAAAAAAATCATTTACTTTTGTATATTAAAATGCGTAGTTAAAGCTTTAAAACGTCTTCTGAGGTAACAAACTCAAAAGTTGTCCTTTCA